TTAGTTTTATTCAAACTTTATATATATATATATATATATATATATATATATATGTATAAAGATTTTGCAAGTAGTTATGCATGAGCGAAAATATATCGCGTTACGTTTTAGCTTGCCTTTCTTCATTCTGTCACTTAATACCTCTATCTCGTAGTAACACTCATCGTCAGCATCATTTCTATTACATGTCGGTGTCTGTGACGTTCTTCGTATAGAAGAAAATTCAAATCGGCTTTAAATGACTGCTGGATTAATTTCATTGGGATGTAATCGATGTTACAGCAAATATATTAATTATATTTGACGAAGAAACATTCTTTCATTTTCTTTTTTCTTTTTTTCTTTATTATTATTATTATTATTATTATTATTATTATTATTATTAAATAATATTCTTTATGGCTCATTTTAAACGTTGACGCTAATATCACTATATATTATAAAATATTACGAACAAAAAAAATGTACACAATAAATCATAACTCCGTAATATTAATGTCGAACAAAAATACGTGAGCATTTGTGTGTGTATGTGTGTTTGTTATTATTTTTTTCTTTTCTTCTTTTTCTTGAAAACAAAGAGAAAGAGAGAGAGAGAGAGAGAGAGAGAGAGAGAGAGAGAGAGAGAGAGAGAGAGAGAGAACTGTCGTGAATCATTTCAACTGACATCGTTATAATAAATCATTAAAAAAAAAAGTCTAGATGAAATCACTTGCATATATTTTTAATATTAAACAAAGATAGACGACGAGTTCCACGATCAATTGAAGGACAAATAAACATCTAATCAAAATGTATGACTAGGTATCTCGTGTGTACATACATACATACATATGCATGTATGTATTTATTTGTACGGTGTTGGTGGTACAATAATTGAACCAGTAGAATTTGTTCTGTCGATTCGAAAGTTTTTAATCGAAATCACGATGAGAAATTACGAGATTTCTCTCTATAACCGGAAAATAGAGAGAAAATAGAGAAAGAGAGAGAGAGAGAGAGAGAGAGAGAGAGAGAGGGAGGGGGGCAGGGAGGAAGGGAGGAGAGTGAAAGAGTAGAGAGACGAATTATTGGGTCTCTTATTCCCGTGACAATTTGGAGTTAGTTAAAGCAGGTCAGGGACCTCTTTGCCCGGTTCGTACATCCTTCTTTAACTCGTGCCACTTACTTATGTACCTAGCTCTCTAGTACAATTCCGGAGCTCCACCAGTCTCGATCGCGTCTTCATTCCGAGCACTGATTTTAAATGGTTAACTCGTCGTTTATCTGATTTTTTACAATAATTTTTCGACATTTTTAAATTGTTAAATAATTTTTCTATTTTTTGCTTCGTACCTCGGGATTGTTCTTCTTCTTTTTTTCTTTTTTTTTTCTTTTTTTTTTTTTTTCTTTTTTTTTTTTTGTTCGTTTGTTTGTTCGCTTGTTATTTTCTTCAATTTATTCTATACTACTTTTTCTCTCTTCGCATTGTTTTTTTTTTTTTTTTCTTTTTTCTTCTTCATTCATTTAAGAATGAAGACATAAAGATTATTAAATATAGCCGATTAATATCTTCGACATAAAAGTCGATCTATATAATGACGAGTACGTCGAGAAGTGTTCTTCGTTAAATCGATACGGGACATAATCGATAATCATATGAACAGAAGAGAATGCAGAACAGTGCTATTTACTTGGAGGTTGGCAGAGTTCTTCTATATATATATATATATATCTTTTTATTCTTTTTTTTTTTTATAAATATATTATCATATATTTTTTTATAAATGTAAAAAATGTACCTAAGAAATGTTAGAATTTGATTTCTTTTTTATTTTTGATTATATATCGATATTGAAATATATATGTATATAAAGGGGCCGGTGAGGGGTTAGGTATATGTTCTGATCGAGATTAATTTTTATCGATAGATCAGATCGATCGCGATACAATCGAGATAGAAAAACGTCGATACGATAATAACTTTATTCTATATTTTTAAGGGCACCTGTTGCACTGCTTACTTCTCTTTTAGAACATTAGTTTTCGAACATTTTTATTTGCATATACTCAACTATGTATGTATGTATGTATGTATTTATTTATTACGTATATATAACTATCGATTCATCATTTACATACGATTCGTCGATATAAATAGAGCTCCGATTTGTGTGCTGGACGAATCAAATGTTCATTGCGAAAAGTGATACGCAATAAAAGTTCACGTCGTTTCAAGACTCAATTCACTTTTATTTTTGCACTGTATATTCAAACTTAATTTAGTCCGGAGGTAATCGTTCTCAAAAAGAAAATAAATAAAATCTGAATGATTAAAAATTGATAAGACATTCGTCGCCATAATAATTTTTATTTATTTATTTATTTTTTTTTTCGTTATTTTTCGCAGAAGTTCGTGTAAGATTGTTTTCGAATTAAGAAAAAAAAAAAAATAAATAAATAAATAAAATAAAATAAAATAAAAAGAAAATTCGATCGAACGATCTAATTGAAATGAGCTATTATTTTTTTCTTTTCTTTTTATTTTTATTTTTTTCTTCAATACGCTTTTCTTCCTTATTTCTGTTGAATTCTCTTTTAACATTTATCGATTATTTCTTATATGATTTTATTAATCGATATGAGTTTATTAATGTTATCATATAACGATTCGCGCAATATCTAAATTAGCTGAGATTATCGCGTAATATGATCGGAATACTTTGGATACGATTCACTTAAATGTCACGTGATTATTGTTAACGCGCACAGGATATAGCAATTGATTAAAAAAAAAAAATAAAAAGAAAAATAAAAAGAAAATAATAAAAAGTAAGCAGATAAAAAGAAAAAACAAACGAGAAGGAAAATATTTGATTAGAATTTTAGATACAAAATTATGTTCGAAAAATCAAAAAGCAAGCGAGAATTTACGAAAAGGCTGTTCGGAGAATATATATATATATATTCGAATTTAGAATGCCTCGATTCTATTTTTGAGCTATCTTCTTACTCTCGAACTCTACGCAAACGGAATAAATTATTACATTTTACTATACCGTATGAATTTCTTTTTTATCCGAAAGGGATTATCATTGAGGATAATAATGAATTCATTTGAAAGTACGATATGTATCCGTAATGATTTCAATACATAAAGAGGATCGTTATATTGTACTTGAATTTTTTTTTTGAAACATTACAAAAATCAAAAAAGAGAAAAATAATTTCATTTATCGACAATTTCTGTGTGTTCGTGCGCGCGCGCGTGTGTGTATAAAATAAAAAAATACGAAAATATATTTTTCTATCACATTGCAATAAAATGGAATGTTCTATATATATTAATAATATATATTATAATAATTTCAATGTGGTAAAGCTATAATATCGCTGACTGATGAGGAAGAAAAGTATGTAAATATTATTTCTCTTTATCTAATGACATTAATTCAGATAATTTTAAAGAAAATCTTTCGACCTAATTAAAAATAATCATTCGCGATTTTTTTTTCCAATCAAATGAGGCGTATATAAATAAGGCAAAAAAAAAAGAGAAAGAAAAAAAAATCATAAAAATTAGCACGTTTAATAGCATTCGACATATTTTTTAGGAAAAGAATAAATAAATAAATAAATAAATAAATAAAAAATAAAAAGAAAAAACAATAAAATAAAATAAAAAAAAAGATAAAAGAATTCGTCCACGAACAGACAATACAGTGAACATTCAGTTTAGACGAAGAAAAGAAGAAAAATATATACTAAAAAAAAAAAAAAAAAAAAAAAAAAAAAAAAAAAAAAAAAAAAAAAAAAAAAAAAAAAAAAAAAAAAAAAAAAAAAAACCGATATATCGAACGAATTCTCATTACGAGCTCGATGAAATGCGTGTTCATCCACTTTGTAAATAAAACATTGCGTCCTCGTGCTCGGTTAAGAACGTGGGACGATGATAACGCTTTTACGAATTGGCTGCTGACGTATGCATATTAGCAGCAATGCGTATGCAATAGGGGGAGAGAGAGAGAGAGAGAGAGAGAGAGAGAGAGAGAGAGAGAGAGAGAGAGAGAGAGAGAGAGAGAGAGAGAGAGAAGCATTGAAAAAAGAACATATGTAAGTACCAAACGTGATATATAACAGGAGGAAAAAAAAAAGAAAAAGAAAAAACAGATGGGACGTTCCTTGGAGTAATAAAACAATAAGATAACGACAAATGTGGTTAAGATATAATAAATTAAAACACCTAAAATATATATTTATATATATACATTTAAAAAAGGAAAATGGCTGTCTGTAAAAGTAAGAGAGAAAGAGAAACACAGTAGTAGAGTTTAACGAGGAGAACGAGAAGCGGAAGAAGGGATTTACAAAGAAAGAACAAGAGAGGAATATGTTCCCTCTCTCTCTCTCTCTCTCTCTCTTTTTCTCTCTCTCTTTCTCGTTGTTGTATCATCATTATCGTCATCGTCGAGTCTCTCTCTTTCTCTCTCTCTCTCTCTCTCTCCCCCCCTCCTTCTTCTCTAGCGTATCACGAGGCAAACTTCGATGCTCTTTCAGTCTCGTCGTGACTTTCCTGAGTGACGCGTCTATTTGATCGTCCTATCGAGTGCTCGAACGTGTGTCTCTCATTCTCTCTACCCCTCTCTTTTTCTTTCTCTCTCTTTTTTTCTCTTTCTCTCTCTCTCTCTCTCTTTCTCTCTCTCTCTCTCTCTCTCTCTCTCTCTCTCTCTCTCTCTCTCTTTCTATCTGTATCTCTCTATCTCTCTCTCTCTCTCTTCGACGTTCCTTCCTTAGGAACATGTGCTTAAATCGTGCATGTGCTTATAAAATGTACTTTTTATCAAATCATCATCGTGTGTTCTCATTTTAGATGATATTTTAAGAATTATAAGTGTTAATATGTATATATATATATATGTGTGTGTGTGTGTATGTAATATATACATACATATGTAGACGGTGAAGACATAGATAAAGACGGACAGAGAGGGAGGGAAGAAAAGAGAGAGAGAGAGAGAGAGAGAGAGAGAGAAAGAGAGAGTGAGTGAGAGGGAAGTTGGGAGGGAGAAAAAAAGAAAGTGCTAGAAAAAAATATTTATACATTTACATGTATATATATATATAGACAAAAAAGCTCGTGTCTTTGCTACTCCATTTTCTTCAAAACTTCCGGATGTCATCGTCCTTGTTCGATTTACATCATCATCGATAACAAGACACGTGCCAGTGATCGTCAGCATGTCCGTACGTTCGTACCTTTCCTCATGTGACCGAAAAGAGAACGATAGATTTAAATAAAAAGAAAAGAAAAAAAGAAAAAAATAGAAATAAAGATGCAGATAGAGTTAGGGTTAGAGATAAAGATAAAAGAGATCTTCTCTTTTTTGATCTAACCTTGGCTCTTGGTTCAGACATTGGCATCGTATACTTGTAACGCAACCTTGAACCACGACTTCTCCTTCCTCGAATCAATTCTAATCACATTCATTAACGGATTCTTCTTTTGTAAAAAAAAAAAAAGAAATATAGTAGTAAAAAAGGAAATATATATATATATATATATATATATATATATATATATATATAATGATAATAATGATGATGATAATGACGACGTCGATGATTCTGGTTTTCGAACGTGAAACTATCTTGTTTTGAGGCTTCGTGGATTAATAATCAGTTCGGTTTTTACGTAAGATAATCTTTCGAGAAAATTTTCCTTTTCTTTCTCCTTTTTTTCTTTTTTCTTTTTTTCTTTTTCTTTTTTTTTTTCTTTTTTTTTTTTTATTAATTTTTTCTTCTCTTTCTTCCCTCCTTGTTTTGTTGTTTACTTGATTGAAAGAAAGTCTAGAGGTCGATCGATCTATCTTTCATTTATCACAAGGGTTATCGTTTTCACGATGCGTACACGTAGCTGGCAACGATATATTTTTCGAGGAAATATTTTGCACGAGGAAAACACCCTCGACGCTATTTTCTCTGCTAAAAATTTCTTCAAGTCGACCCTGAATGTTGTCGTCGTCGTCGTCGTTGTCGTCGGTACATTGTGTATATAGTAAGTGCGACGCGTGGCACGAGGCTTATTCTTCGTCGTCGTTATCGATCTAGAAATTGATATAAGAAAAAAAAAAAAAAAGAAAAAAAAATAAATCAAATGAGATCTTTCAATATCATTTAGATATTATAAGTACGATTTCCACGATATTTTTTTTTTTTTTTTATTTTTTTTTAATCCGAATTATAGTATTATTGATAGATAAACCACGCGATTATTGAAAGATAAACCGTTAGATTTCATGTTTGGCAATAATTAAGAATAGAATTTATTTGTATCGTTTTGTAATCAAAAAAAAAAAAAAATATATATATATATATATATATATATATATATATATATATATATATATATATAGAAAGAGAGATAACAACGATAATAATAATAAAACTTTACCTATACGTTAATTTTTTTCTTTATTCGTCGTAACGTTAATTCATCGATCCAACAAATAAAATGATTTTGATTATCGGATTATCGAATGGATTCAATTTGTCGTAGGCGTATAAAAGAAAATTATTAATATATATCATCGTATCATGGATTTATTTTTTTTTTATCATTCTCTCTTTCTTTTAGAAAAGAAAAGCAAATAAAAGGAATTGATATTTTTATTTATAAAATGTTTTATTTTTACTTTTTTTTTGTTTTTTTTTCCTATCGTACTTCCATACTCTTTAATATACCGAGATGTTTTTTTTGTTTTTTTTTCTTTTTTTTTTTTCTTTTTTTTTCTTTTTTTTTTTTTTTGGGAACATTGAAATATGCGAAAGGAGGGTATTGAATCTTATCGATGATACTTGAGTTTTTCGTTATTGCACAGAAATGGCAGTTTGAAAAGCTCTTTTAAAAGACTGACAAAACTCGACATTTCTATTTCGTTGTGCTCTTATCGTATACATACATACATATACACACACACACACACACAAATGCACACACATTTAAAATCTCTTTGTATAAATTAATAATGATGTAGATAGTTAGGTAACTTTTATTCGACGTAATGATTGTCGTCAATGACGTGTCTTGTAAAAAAAACCAGTTTTGTTTGATGGAAAACGGTATAGCAATTTGTACACTTGTACACGTGAACTTCTTCATCCATTAGACATATATTTACAATCGGATTACAAAGATGCAAACTTGTAATCACTGTCAGTGCTGTAACATCGTAACTCGAAACGAAAAATTAGTTTTTAAGAAAAATATTTTTTTTTCAGTTATCATATTTCAAGGACGTTTAGATATTCTTGTAAAAAAAAAAAATAAAAAAAAAAAAAAATAAAAGAAAAATTTAAAAAAGTAAAAAATAAAAAAAAATAAAAAAATATAAAAAGAAAAGAATAAAAGAAAAATTTAAAAAAGAAAATAAAAAGTAAAAAATAAAAAAAAAAAATAAAAAAAAGAAAGAAAGAAAGAAAGAAAGAAAGAAAGAAAAATTGTCATTTGTTATAATCGAGACATTATTTTGTTGCGAATGAACGAACTTTTATTTTGAGTTCGAATGTTTTGACCTATGATCAATCGAGGTTAATGTATTGTATCGATACCATTAACCTCACGCCATTTTGATTAATCGTCAATTATATATCGATTTTTATTAGTATCCTTCTTAATGCACATTTATTCATTTAAAATAGATCGCATTATCTTGTGAATCCTTTAAAGGAAAAAAAAAAGAAAAAAAAAGAAAGGAAACAAGGAAAAAAATTATTATCTTTTTTAATAAAGACTGACGAAGTCGACGAATATGACGATTATCCTCGTTCGTATAAGTCCAAAGATAATTTCCTCAAGATTTTTTATCTTTCAAAGCGAGCACTTTACGTAATTAGCGTAGAATCGAAATAAATGCGGCACGAATTGCTGTAATTGCACTCTCGGGGAAACAAACTCCTGAAATAGACATATTGATAAATAAATGGAGGCATAAAATTAATGTACACTACCAATTACATCTAACAGAATTTTAAAATGACGTAAAATTGTTCTAAAATGTTATTGCTTATGTTATATTAATTCTTAATATTTCTTATTCGATTTATTCGAATGAAAATTTTTAAATAGATATTTTACAAAATGTTTTTTTTTTTTTTTTTTTTTTTTTTTTTTAAGAATTCGTTAAATTTTATTTTCGAATTAAAAGTTATGCAAATTTGATTATTCGAGATGTCAAAAGTACATCTTAACATTTTTCAAATGTCGAATTTTTCGAGAATGAAATAATCAACGTTGCCCGTCTAAATTTTAATTAGACCGTAACACGAGTTACAAACACGATTTTTAAAATCGACCATATATTTATACGTATGCGTATAAATGTATATAAAATTGAGAACGAAATTAATGATATATACGTATATTTATGATATACTCTATTTATGATAAATATTTTAGTAAGAATTTTTAACGAACGTCTCTTTTTTTCTTTTTTTTTTTTTCCTTCTATTTTTCTTTTCTTTTTTTTCTTTTTTTTTTTTTTTATTTTGTTTTTTTTTTGTTCATTTTCTTCTTTTACTTCTACAGAAATTTTCATTTACCTTTCAAACGATCGATTTAATTATTTTAAAACAAATTTGAAAATGTGTAAAGAAAGATCGTTATCGAGATCTCGTCGAAACATAATGACAAGTAAATTTGTTAGACCTCGATAAGGTCGCATGTAAGATCGCAAGGCGTGAATGAAGTTTATACGACAATGGCATTCGTTTATAGTAAGTCAGGGTCGATTCACGTAACATCGTATAAAATAACAGTGGCGTAGAACTGGATATTATTGCGATAGGTACATAATTGTAAATTGCACGCAAATTATATAGAATTTTATGTTCACGGTGTTGTCGAAACGAAATATATGAGTAACAATGAGTACGAGACAAATCGTTGCAAAATATTAAATAATGATTTAAAAAAATTATATGACATTCTCTGGGAGGTTGCTTTTCTTTCTTTTTTTCTTTCTTTTTTTTTTTTTTTCTTTCTTTTTTTTTTCTATTATTCTATCTAACCTAAGCGATATATAACAAAACGTATATAATTATAGATCATTGTCTATGATCGTCTCAGAGTTGTCATTTGTTCTTGGCGAATGTTCATGAGATTTCTCAATTTTCATTTTTTTTTTCCTTCTCCTTTTTTCCTTTTTTTTTTTTTTATTCCTTTCTCCTTCTTCTTTTTTTCTTTGTTTTTTTTTCTTTCTTTAAATACTTAAAAAAAGAATCATCATCCATGTAAGAAAATTTATTGTTAATGAACATTTTATATTTCAGGGTTCCGGATATTTAAAACGTGCGAACAGCGATCGCCTCTATGAAATCTTTAATCAGGTAAGCAAATGTGAACAAAAAGTAAATGTATGTGTAAGTTAAGTATATATTTTTTATTGGAACATGAATTGTATGATATCACGTTGTTCGTATCTACATATATATATATATATATATATATATATATATATATGTATATATATATTTATTTATATTGAAACTGCCAAAAAGTTAAATGTCTTGAGTTCATGAATGTTTTCATAGAACGTTTAAAGGTCAAATTACGATGTATTCCTTAGAGTTATATATGTGAACATTCGAAACATTCGGTCAAGGTATTATATATTGATTCTCCTTGCTCCCCCTTCCCCCCTCTCCCTCCAATCCCAATCCCCGATATGATATGACAATTATTGTCTAGAATTTAAAAATGAACTTGAATTGAATCATTCGTAGTATCGTGTATATTCTTTGAAAGAATTATCGATAATTAATTTTAATTTCTCTGTGACAAATTGATTGAAATTACTTTTAATATTATTATTTTCTTTTTTTTTTTCACGATCGATTAAATTTAAATCGTTATACACGTTATAATTCGTATTAATTAAAAAGCATCATTAGAAAAAGAAAAAGAGAGATAATGAAAGATTAATTTTTGATATGGTATAAAAAAAAAAAAAATTAAATAAAAAAGTATCTTGTCTAGGTATCGTTTAAAAGATGTTAAAAGAAAGTATTATTATAATAAATTTCGTCCGCTTTATGTTATTCTCTATGAACATGAATATATTTGGGTGTGGCAGTTTCTCAGTGAAGGCATCTTATATAATATCGGTAAAGCCAATGCCGTGACTTGCAACGTTTATTTTGGTGAAAAAAAAAAATATATATACATATATATATATATATTAGGAAGCAACAAAGTCGAAATATTTAATGATATAAGCTAATTTAATATTTTGAAGAATTTTTGATAATCACACCGTCGATTACGATTAATATGAACAATTAAGAGGAACTATATCGTTTTTATTTGATAAATTAATTTTTTCCCTCTTTTTTTTTTTTTCTTTTCCTTTCATTTCTTTTTCTTTCTTTCTTTCTTTTTTTTTTGTGAATGCAAAGAAAGAAAAAAAAGATATAGATAAGATATGCTCTATATTATATTTGAAATAATCGTGGAATTAATCGATCGTGAAGATTTCTCCTAAAAGTTAATGACATATGATATTTCTTCAATTGTATTTTACCGGTGTATTCCATAATTCTTATCTTTTTTCTTCTCCAATCACAGTATGCCACGCAGGAGAAGAATGGCGAGAGGTTTATGACCTCATCCGATTTTGTACGCAGTTATCTTGGTCTATACACGGATGTTGACTACAATCCTGAATCCGTCAATTTGCTCGCTGGAATCGTCGATACTAGCAAAGATGGGTGAGTTGTCGAATGATTCTTTTTTTCTTTTTTTTTTTCTTTTTTTTTTATACCTAAGTAAAAAAGATATTGATAATGTTTAAGATAACTCATTGACATACGATAAGACCATGATCGTTTAATTAATCAACACGTTATAAAGCTTTATGAAGCGTTCGAAAGACGAACCAGTAATTCGAATATCGATTGAAAGATATTTATTAAAAATGTCAATTGTTTTATTATCGATTATTATAGAATTTTATCAATTAAAATTTATCAATCAAATCGTTACTAATTGTAACATGAAATTAATTTCGATGTACATAAAAAAAGAAAAAAAAAGGAAAAGAGAGAATAGATCGATCTATATTTCTCATCCAACGATACTTTCGATCTTTACTACTAATTAAAGTTTAGAATTATCGTACGAAGGTTGAGGGTCGTGGCTAAATCATTGTTAGGATCGATCAACTGTGGGGGTGAGTCTATCCGATAACGAAGCTCTGATAAAGCTTTATTTTCATCGAAGCGAAGACTTACGATGTCGTCAACATCTATCTATAATACGTCAAGCTTAGAGCTTTGTGTTTATTTATAATACGCACGTATTGACTTCCATCGATCCATTTATTTCATATGCTGTTTATTTCACTTTATCAATTTCATTAAATAAATAGGTTGAACCGTATAATTAGATCACTTTTGCTTATTTTTATATTTATATATTTCACCGGTTTTTTTCTTTTATTATTACTTTATTTCATTTTATTTTGTTGCTACGTTAACGAAAAGAAAAAACAAAAAACAAAAAAAAAAAGAAAACAAAAATATTTTAATTTTAACAGCAACAGAATATTTTTTTCGATTTTTAATCATTCGCGTGTACACGAGATTCACCTTGTATATATTTCTTTGTTATATGGCATAAATCCATAAATATGTCTTGTTTTTTCTTCTTCGTTCATTTCATAAAAGATTCTAATCAAAAATAATTCACACAATTATACCATAAATAAATAAATAATTAAAAAAAAAAAGAAAAAGGAAGAAGTGAAATAGAATGATATGGTCTATTATTGTTTTATTCACAGACTCATATCCTTCACCGAGTTTCAAGCATTTGAAGGCCTACTTTGCGTCCCGGATGCACTATATAAAACAGCATTTCAATTGTTTGATACTAATGGAAATGGAATGGTTGCATTTGGTGAGAGTTTGATTTTCTTTTTACAATTATTATCATTTCTATTTTACGCATCGTTATTATTGATATATATATATATTTTTTTTTTTTTTTTGTAATTAAAAAAAAATTCCACAGACGAGTTCGCTGAGGTGATGCGTAAAACAGTGTTACATCAAAAGATGCCATTCAATATGGATAGCAGTTTCATTAAACTTTATTTCGGAAAAGATAAGAGCAGGCTAATTAGTTATGCAGAATTCAGTCAATTCCTACACGTAGGTATCTTTTTTCTATTTGTTTGTTTTTTTCTTTTTTTTTTTTTTTCTTTTTTCTTAAGATTTTCTTTTTAAAGAAGATCTGAAATTTAAACGAGCTTTAATTATTCCAGGACTTTCACGAGGAATATGCCACGGAAGCATTCAAAAAATTCGATAAAGATGGCACGGGTTTTATTACGGCAGTAGACTTTCAAGATATCATGCTCAGTATTAAAAGTCATCTACTGACAAAAGACGTGAAGGATAACTTGATTGCCGTAAGAATTCGAATTCTTTCTTATATATATATATTTCTTAAGTATATAAAAGTGATAATATTTTATACGATGATTGTTTGTAGGCAATCAGTACAGGACAAAGTGGACGAAAAGTAAGCTTCCCATATTTTATGGCGTTCAATTCGCTTCTCAATAACATGGAACTTATAAAACGTATTTACCTGAACGCGACCAATGGCCATAGATATCAAGAAGTTAGCAAAGGTACATAATATATATATAAACCAGTTATTACAATTACATTATCAATCTTTTTGTCTATTGTATCTTTTTGTTTTCTATTTTTCTTTCTTTTTTTTCTTTCTTTCTTTCTTTCTTTCTTTAATTTCTTTTTTTCCTTTTTTAAACGACATTTCTTCTTTCCTTTTCAGAGGAATTTCTTCATTCTGCACAAATGATGTCACAAATAACTCCACTCGAGGTGGACATCCTTTTTCACCTATGTCATTTACTCCATCAAACTGGGTAAGTATCTTTTCTCCTTGAAAATGAAAGCCCTTTATGACTATCGGATGATAAATCGTTTAAAGTGGGTACGTGGAAGGAGTAGGTACGTGGTTGAGATATCCGATAGGAAATAGATATGTGTGTATAAAGACGTCGTGTAAAAAAAAGAAGATAAAGATAAATAGATAGATAGATAGATAGATAGAGATAGGGATAGAGTGAAAGAGGGGTGGGGGTGGGGAGAGAGAGTGCATGCAAACAAATTGAAGGATTTAGCTCGTGTTCAAGAAAAAGTTTTCGCTCTGCCTATTTACATACTTACCTTCCACGAAAACCCGATCAATATTCAATATGAAATCACGTAATGCTATCGTTGCACCAGCAAGCATACTTCGTCATCATCCAAATGTCCAGTGTCTCGTTCTTGGCAAAGAAGATGCAGACTACTACTACTACACTCGAACGAGAAAGAATTTTATTTCTAATCAATCAATCTGTCAAACAATAAAACAATCAGTCAATCAATCAATTAATCAATCAATCAATAAATAAATCAATCAATCAATCGCTTTTTTACGCCTACAAAACTTCATTATTATTATTCTCATTGTTATTATTATTATGATTATGATTATGATTACGATTATGATTATGATTACGATTACGATTATGATTATTATGATTATGATTATTATTCTTTTATATTAAAAATACTTACCGATTTTTTTTTAATTATCTGAGCCCAAATCCAAGGGAAACTTTCTTTATTGTAAAAGAAACGTTTGTTTACGTGTTTACGCTGCCCGGATCAGAACTACGGAAGATGACGAGGCAGATTCGCGGTTTGGGTGCGTCCTTTGTATTACAGAATATTTCCGCGCTATATAAGATATGTTATCATTCATATATATATATACACACATATATGCATATATATATATATATATATATATATATATGTATGTGTATATGCATATATAACACGTTTATCACATCACATATTTTCTTTAGCATCAATTTTTAGGACGATTTACTTACTAATAGTTGCACACACCCATGGACACTAACGATATACATACATATATATATATATATATGTATGTATGTATGTATGTATGTATGTATGTGTGTATTTGTTATATATATATATATATATATATATATATATATATATACACACATATAAATTACGTTGTCTCTCGTGTTAAAACAAATAACGATTAAGGAACGTATTGGCAGGACATTAGTATTGCTTGAAGCAGTGCCATCGACGTCCATCTACTTTTTTAATGATCTTTTTATGTATCTTTCCCCTTGTTTCGCTTGTCGCTTCAGCAACGATGTCTGTATTGAGCTCGCATTTTCTGGGATTTCAGGAAAATTGTATACAATGATCTCGTGGCTATTACCCCTGAGCAGTATTTCAAGCAAATAACAAAACGTCTCGCTGAGATTAAGGCGGTGTCGGTAAGTGTGGTGAAAGAAGTATCCGCTGCCGAGTGACAATGGAATTTTGCCCGAAATCTACGTGAATCAGGGTGTGAGGTGTTTCATTCAATAGCGAGTACCATTGCTTTTCAGAGCCCGGAGGAGCGTGGCGTTGTCGTTCAAATTCTTGAGAGTGGATACCGATTTGTACTCGGATCTATCGGCGGAGGTACGTTCTATAAGCGCGATACGAACATTTAATCAAATGATCATTATATATATATATATATCATTATATATGATCATTATATAATATCATTATATATATATCAAATGATCATTATATATATATCACACCTTCGCATTCTTCGTTTTTCACTTCGTAGGTTCTACTTTACAGATATTAATGCGAGACAAGATCAATAGAATTCCGACAGTGCGGCTAATAATAACTTTTTTCTTCCTCTTTACATCATAGATTTGATTAATTTTCACTATCAATATATATATATATATATTTGTTTATTTATTTATTTATTTTTTTTTTTTTTAACTCATTTTTATACCTATTTCATTTTCTTTCTTTCTTTCTTTTCTTTTTTGTTTTATCATTTTTTTAATTCTCTTTTTATATCTTTCAGTTCTTTTTTTATCTCCATTTTCTTTCCTTTTTTCTTTTCCTTTTTTTTTTTTTTTTTTTTTTTTTTTTTTTGTCGAATTCGTTCAAGCACGATCGAGCATCACATTTATTATACATATCTTTCATGTACAATACAACCATTCAGGCATGTTGACTACTTATTACAAAAATGTTCTTTTGCACTTGTAATCTCATCGTTAATTTCTTTTTTTAGCTGTTGGTGCTACCGTGGTGTATCCTATCGACCTTGTGAAAACACGATTGCAGAATCAAAGGACAGGATCTTTCATTGGGGAACTGATGTACAGAAACAGCTTCGATTGTTTGAGAAAGGTTGGAATCGAAAAGTCTCGCCGTGTAACACCGTCTACATTGTTAATCATGAAGATGGTATTTTGCGTTTGACAGGTCATGCGTCACGAAGGCTTTTTTGGCCTTTATCGTGGCTTATTGCCCCAATTAATGGGTGTAGCGCCGGAGAAAGCGATCAAGCTTACGGTTAATGATTTTGTAAGAGATAAGTTTATGGACAAAAATGGATATTTACCGCTTTATGGTGAAGTTATATCCGGTGCTTGCGTAAGTATTTTATTTCAATTGTTAGGAAAAAGAGAAGGAAGTAAGAAAAAAAGAAAGAAAGATCGCCTATTTTTTTTTTGCTTTTACGTTCAGATTTATGTATTTTATTTTTTTTTTCTTTTATAAAGAATTAAAAAGAATTATTTACAAGATTATACATTTATTATATACGTATATCTTTCCCTGTCTAGGCTGGAGGATCTCAGGTCATTTTTACGAATCCTTTGGAGATCGTGAAAATCAGATTACAGGTTGCTGGAGAAATTGCCGGAGGTACGAAAGTTCGAGCATGGACTGTGGTTAAAGAATTAGGTCTATTTGGATTATATAAAGTGAGTACGGGAGATAAATTTTTATCCGTATTTTTTATGGATAAATCTTAATTGAAATTTTTTTTCTTTGTTTCTTTTCTTTTTTTTTTTTTTTTTTTGGTTCCCTTTTCACTTATTTAATTTTCTTTTCTTTTCTTTTTCTCCCCGTATATCCAGGGTGCTAAAGCATGCTTTCTACGAGACGTACCGTTTAGCGCAATTTACTTTCCTATGTATGCTCATACAAAAGCTAAACTGGCCGATGAAGGAGGATACAATACTCCTTTGTCTCTTCTATTTTCTGGTGCAATCGCTGGTGTACCTGCGGCAGCGCTGGTCACTCCTGCAGATGTAATAAAAACTAGATTACAGGTATGTAAATTCAAAATTATATCAATGAATGAAATGATCTTCAAGGAATTCCCATATTAATGAAAATAATATTTCTTCAGGTCGTTGCTAGAGCAGGTCAAACGACGTACACCGGTTTACTCGATTGTGCCAGAAAAGTTTATAAAGAAGAAGGTGCCAGAGCATTCTGGAAAGGAGCTTCAGGTATGTCGTCTCATTAATATGAGATTGTTCTAGTCGTTATCTTTTTTATATTTTTCTAGTCCTTAATAAAAGTCCTTTTAATGCGTACGATTATTCAGAAATAGCGTAAAAATTAAGATTCATGTAGCATCGTTTTCCTTTTTCTAATTTATATTTTTGTTTTGTTTTTTATTTGCTAATTTTTATATATATTATATGATAATCGTCAGTACTATAATCGTTATTAGATATTTATTAGGATTAGATATTTCAATCTGTAATGCATCCCATGTATATTTTAATGGATATTATTACTAGGAAAATATAAAAATATGTTATGTTAAATATATATATATAAAATAGATTATTATTTTCAACATAGAGATCAGCGTATCAGGGTCAATAAATATTAGTTTTAGTTGCATTATTAAATTTGATTCTCTCTTTTTCTCTCTTTCTCTCTTTCTCTCTCTCTCTTAAGTCAATTTAAGACATTCTAACGGTTGGTAATATATTTTGATCTGGTCGATTGCATGCACGGGGAATTGGCCCTGCTGCATCCTTCGACCATTCTTCCTCCCCAATATGACCTGGCCACTTACTTCTCAGTAAGTACACTCTGCCTTTCTCTCTTTCTGTCTGTTTCTATGATTTCTTGCCAATCCTTTTTTGTTCCAATTTTCACTGCCACTCTATACTTATCATTTACATACATACATACTTATATATATAGCGTGATTATTAAGTGCAATGTAAAAAATCATTGGTTTTCTTTTTCTTGTTTTTATTTATTTATTTATTTATTTTTGTTTTCTTTTGTTTTCATGTGTATCACAATTTATATTTTTGTCATTATAATTACAGCCACTTCAATGCATTAGAAGTATATGTCACACAATGTCATGGAATAATAATCAAATGAATAATTTTAATACTAAATAAAAAAAAAAAGAATATTTAAATCATTATTTTATAACATTCATCGATCATTTTTTCAATGAAATAATAACAATGGTGATGTCGTTTGCATATATATATACATATATGCATATATATATATATATATATATATATATATACATATATATATATATATATATTCATATATTTATTAAAAATCTTTATCTTAGACAAAGAATAATAAATAAGAAATCCTACATAGTGCCCTGTAGATCCTATATTTAGTAATATAATATCCAATTATAATAATATAATAAAATTTTTTATTATTTTACAGCACGAGTATTCAGATCCTCTCCGCAATTTGGTGTCACACTCTTCACGTACGAGTTGCTGCAAAGGTTGTTTGTAGTTGACTTTGGAGGATCGTAAGTATATTATATAATCATAATTAATTAATAAATTGTGGTTTATGTTATTATTGTTATTTGCTTATAAATTTTATGTGCATGCAATGAAAATGAAAATAACTATATGAAGCAGCTGTATTTTATATATATATATATATTAAAGTGTCGTATGAGATAATATTTGCAAATGCAACAATACTAACTACAAATGATATTATTATCACATAAATATATAATAAATCCGCTATGTTAATATGTTAATTCGTCGTTCTGATAATAATTTGTTTAAGTTAATATTATATATATATATATTAAAGAGAATTATTATTATTTTTTATATATTAAGTATTGATTTCTTCAAATTGATTCAGACATTGACATGTGATATGTTTAAAAAAAATATGCATGTATCATTGATATATTGTAATTTTTAATTATCACATGGAATAATATTTTGATATGTGCATAAACATTATATATAATAAAATTTGTAACTATCATATTATCATTATAATTATATTATATTAATAGACATGAAACCTGATTGTATTCATTTATTAATGAAATATAATTTAAATCTGTATCTGATAAATTGAAATAATTGTATGTTGAAATAATAATTGTAAGATTTTAATATGCATGTAACTTTTAATAATGCTTTATTTGTGCTTTATTAATTAAACATGTTTTAATAGTAATGTATAAATCTGAAATTCGCTTAATATGTGCTTATAACAATAAAATGTATATTTGCAGTTGCTTAAAAGGTATATTAGATTGAATACATTGCAATAAAAGTTTGTAGAAATAATTTGTTAATAATAAATATTACTTGCAGTCGACCAACAGGATCAGAACAAAGGGTACCTGCTACAGGATTGGTAGATGAAATACGATCAACAAATCCAGATCACATAGGTGGCTACCAAATAGCTTTACCCATCTTTACGGGTATAGAGAGCAAGTTTGGTCTATGTCTACCTAGGTTCCAAACAGTGATTGTTCAACCTAATCGACAAGCCAAAGGGCAGTAACACCATTAGCTAGAAGATAAGCTTATAGGAAACCCTGCCATAATAGCATACAAGTATCATTGGCTGATTGCTCCATCTAATTCTAAGATTGCGAGGGAAAAAAAAAAGATACAACATTCAATCATATAACTTACTTGTTCTTCTTTATCAACAGTGATTTTGACCATTGCACGCTAACTATATTCTCTGGCTATTTGAGGTCAATATAAAATTGAACATTAACTAGATCGTCAAATACACTGTATATAGGCTTAAAATTAATAAGTCTAAGAAATATGTAGGATCCATCGACTAATTATTCAATAACATTAGCATTACGTAGAATAGCTAAAGCCTGTGCCAGGTAGCCACATATTGAGCTATATATACGATAATGCTGAAAGTATCGATTTTTATTTATTTTAATATTCCCTATATATTTATTATATATTATATTGCGTTTGAACGCTATCACTAGATATATACAAATATTTGATCAACTTTTTATTTTACTCTTTTATGATACAAATTTTTATTCAACAATTTTATTTAAGAAAATATTTGGCACGCTTTATTGTTCAGTATTATCGAGCTATCTTCAAAAACAATTTAAATAGGCATTCATTTCAATGTTTTGCAGTTAATCGATTATGAACAAACAATATAAATATAGTTTTTCGTTATATGATAAAATGAATCGAAGGTAACGTAATAATCGTTTTCTCTACATATTATTCAATGTCATTTTCATGAAATAACATTCGTAAATTCCATTCATAAAATGTAAATATATGTAGAAAAAATGAACTCTCATATTTGTTCTATATTTCACTATACTTACATGCATAATTTGCAAATACTTGACAATTGGAATGATTAAAGATCCATATAATAATTTATATCTAATTGATAGATGAATACAATTTTGTATCGTAATATTAAGAAATTTTGATTTTTTTTTTCTTCTTTTTTTTTTTCGTTTACGATGGATATTCAAACTTCGTATTTGAATGTAGATCGAATGATATTTTTATGAAAATAACATTCTAGATCTATCTGTAGCTCTTTTTTCCCCTTCTAGTCGTAACTGCCGTTTTAAACTTGACTTATACATGGATATATATATATATATACTTTTTTTTTTTTTAGTCAATGGATCCTATATCTGTGATGATTCTATTCGTTCAAAGTATTGAACAAAAATATAGATACAGAGTTTCGGAAAATATAAAATATATATATATACATATATATATATATATATATATATATTGAAGCACGAAATTTCGATCCTTCGTATGATTAATTTGTAAGGATAGTTTCTATAAAAAGGCTTTACAAAACACATTAATGTCAGCGATATCGTTATATATATATTGAACTCTTTTAAATCATATTTCAATTTTTCGCACGCTTTCGACTGATTTTTATAATAAGATCGCATCATAAGATGGAGCGATAAATATTATAACGAACAATATTGATAAATTAATTGAAAAAAAAATGTCTGATCCATAAAACACGACATCACAGCCAATCTTCTTTGCATTTCATACGTAAGAAAAAAAAAAAATACGTTTAATTAATTATGTTATTAAAAAAAAAAAATAAATAAAAAAATAAACAAAAAAAAAAACACGAAAAAAAAACAACAAAAAAAAACAACAAAAAAAGAACAAAAAAAAAAGAACAAAAAGAAAAAAAAAAGAGAATTGTCTTTACACGTCATAAGTTCCATCGAATTAACGGAAAACTCGCAGGATGTTATCGAAGGAGCTGTGTTAAAAGGAAAAATAAAAAGAAAGAGAGAGAGAGAGAGAGAGAGAGAGAGAGAGAGAGAGAAAAAAGAGGGTAAAAAGAAAGAAAAGAAATAAACGATTTTTTTTATATATAAATTGCGACTGTAAGTTGCACTCGATGTATTTTTCTTTCAACATTTATTCAACCGATTTCGTTTAATTAATTATCCGTTAGATACAATTAATTAGAGATATTTCCTGCTGGCTAATCGTCGAATGGCCTGAAACATATTTCGATGTTCCCTCCTGTAACCAGTTCGATAAATTTATGGATAAACTCAAAATAATTGTATATCCATACACCGGAAAGAAATAAGATAACTCGCAATATCGTATTATAGTTATTTTTTAGAATGTTATTTTCTTACGGCTACTTTGTATTATACCTGCTTAGAAATGCAGAGAGGATACAAAGACAACGTACGAAATTGCATTCTTTCCAAGATTGTCCAAGACTTGTTGAATGCTGTTGGGTCAGACTTAAACGCAACCGTTGTACTATCGTCATATAAATCGCAATAGAAAAAAAAAAGAAAAGAAAAAAAAAAAGAAAAAAAAAAAGAAAAAAAATGGAGAAAAAAAAGAAAAAAAAAGTTAAAAAGCATTCGTTTCTATCGAACTAATACGTTCTCAGTTAATCTCGTATTTTATAGTAAATAAATGAAAGGAAAAAAAAAACAAAAAAACAAAAAAAAATACAAGAAAAAAAACAAAAAAAAAAAGAAAGAAAGAAAGATAAAGAAAATAGACACGCAAATTAATCGTAAGGAAATAATATTAACTAGGTGAATCCGTTCGAATTAAAACAAACAAACAAACAAACAAGCAAACAAACAAAAAAAGAAGAAAAAAGGGGGAAAAAAGGAAAAAAAAAATCTCTTTCGTAGATCTCATTTACGAATACGTTAAATTAAGAATATATGTATAAGCAGACACACAGGAGAGATATTATTTTCAAGAGTTCGACTCATAAAATGGGAAAGATAGCGAAACAAATTGATAAATACACTTTATTATTCGCAATTGTATACCGCTTTTTCGTGTATCTCAGTATACAAAAAAAAAAAAAAAAAAAAAGAAAAAGGAGAGAGTACGTGGAAAGAAAAAAGAGAAGATAAAAAAGAAAAAAAAAGAAGAAATAAATAAAAACAACAAAAACAATCATCTTTATCGTTGAATCAGTAGTAATATGGAAAGAAGAGAAAGCGGAAGGATTCTAAATATCGAGATGGATATCGAACCAGAAGCGTTTGCGTTTTTCGACGATATATCGAAGTAAAATAAGTCCAAAATAATATTTTCCCTCCGTCTGTGCGTGAATCTACATATTATTATTATTATTAAAACCGTCGGTGCGTTCTCTCGTTGACGCGAGAATATCCTCGAGTAAATGTAAATAGGAAAGTAACGTAAAGAGTAATCGAGAGAGATTAAATAAAGAAAATACATGCGAAATATGAAAATGTTTAATGAGCGAAAAAAAAAAAAAAAGGAATTTCGTATACAAAATTGAGACTTTTATCGACACCGTTCGTACGTTTCGTACAAGTCGAGTCGACCACTTGTTTATTATTATTATTATTAGATCGATAAAAAGGAAAGAGAAACAATATTAAGAAATAATGAAGGAATGGAGAGATAGAGAGAGAGAGAGAGAGAGAGAGAGAAAGATAAAGAAATAAAACAGAGAACGAAACATAGTATGGACTGGTTATATTTACATAAGCATCTTCAACTTCATTACTTAAAATGTACATGTATGCATATGTTGCTATGTAATATGCAAAGCAATGTATGCGTATGTTTCATCCCTCTGCATATATATATATATATATATATATATGTATATATATGTGTGTTTTTTCAAGAATACATCGTTGACATTTTATTTCATTTTGATAAATCACATTTTCTTCTCTTAGAAACATTTTCTTATCGCGAATCTTCACTTATGCACTTATTACAGATAATATAAAATTATCGACATTGTTATTATCGTCCCCCGTCACATTATCACTGTCACGTCTGATCATTATATTATTATTAATATTGCTAACGATACCTAATTAAATGATAGAAAATTTATATCATCGTATGCATCTGCAAGGAAAAAAAAAAAAAAAAAAAAGAAAAAAAAGAACAAAAAAGAAAAATGAAAAAAAGAACAAAAAAATGTCTCTTTGCTCTGACATAGCAAAATTAAACTTACATGAGTATGGGAAGAAATCTTCTATTGAAAGGTCTTACAACATTTAGGTGAGATTGAAAGGGTTCTAAAAATTGATTATCAGCTACCGTAATTTAATGGAAAAAAAAAAAAAAAAATAAAAAAAAAAATAATAAAAAAGAAAATTAAATTAAATTCAATTAAAAAGAAAAAAAAAAAAGAAAAAAAAAGAAAAAGAATAAAATAATAAGAATAATAATAAGATACGATACAACGGTTCTATGACGATCATTTTCTTCTCAGACTCATAAGTTCTGACGGATATATGATCAATGATATACATATTGAGATTGTGAAGATAATGGCTACGTAAAATGCACAAAGCTATACAATTAAAACAGGATTATATCTATTTTATGAAATAATACGAATTTAACGTAATACCGAGGAATTATATAAAATTAATAATAATAATAATAATAATAATAATTAATAATGATTAATAATAATAATGATAATTAATAATAATAATAATAATAATAATAATAATAATAATAATAATAATAATAATAGTAAAGAAAAGAAAAAGCAACCAAAAACAATATAAAAAAAAAAAAAAAAAAAAAGAAGAAGAAAAAAGAAGAAGTAATCGAAGATTGAACATTGAAGCGCATTCTATTTTATGGCAAATTATAAATGATTATAATTAAAACAGCTTCCATATAATTGATCGCCTCATATCCATTCGACACGCACAGTCGATTATCATCATCGGTAGGTCTTTATCCGTTGAAGCGTCGTAAATCCTCGATTATATTGAAATCAATTCGCGGTATGACGTTCTACGATCTGTGATTTTATTATCAGATTCTTAATGGTACATTATATCGAAAAGAAGGAAAGAAAGAAAGAAATAAAGGAAGAAAAAAGAAAACGATCATAGTTAGACAATTTGTGAATGCAATTCTTACGAGCCATTCTCGTACGTATCTTTGATAATTTAGAATTTACCTCATTGCGGATTGTAAAGATTATACATACTTGTAAATCAAAACCTAATTGTGAATAATATCTAAGCTCTGTTGTGCATATATATTTTAAAATAAGAATAAATAATTATTTAAGTGACGGCCACTGTGCTTCTTCTGTATTTATATGGACAAATTCGTATGGACGCGAGTCAAATATACGCGCTCTTGGAAGCGTAAAGCGTTGAACCAATCACATGCATCATAGGATATTTGAGCCAATAAGCGTGAAGCGACGCTAGCGCCACCACGAGCATTTTACCGCGTGAATATGTCGATTAAGTTCGCTGTGCGTGCGTGCGTGCTTTAAAAAATTCGTTTCTTTTTTTTTTTTACACCTTATAAATAATATTTTCATTAAGTTTCAAAGAAAGTTTTCGTAAATGGCTTCAATGACGATTCATTGAACAAAAAATTAGTGTAACGATTTCAAGTTTAACGAATTGTAAGTCCTTTTTTTAGATTGTCATCGAAGTACGACTGTTACGATGTTCATTTTTTTTTATCCTCAAATTGATTATTTTCCGTTTAGATTTTTTCGAAAGTAAATATATTGTCATATTTAAATATTTCGGATATATTATATTAGTTCATTGATACATGCATGCAAATACATATATACACGGTACATTATGAAAATATCTTAATATATAAAGATATAAAAATACGTGATATATATATTCATATATATATATATATATATATATATATATATATATATATATATATATATAATGAATATAATCGTACGATATTAAAAAGACAAGATGGCGGAAAGAAACTTTTAACGGATTATCGTAAAAATTATTAAGATCGTGGAAATAATTCTAAATATATTATTTTCTAATAGTTCTCTTTTTTAAAATCATTCAATTAAAATTATTCATTTCTCGCTATTAATACGTTCGTACATAGGTATGTACATATACATATATATATATACACACATCATGCATATACGCACGTATATATATATATATATATATATATATATAATGTGTCGTGTGAACAAACAATACCGTCACCATTTGTTTTTTTTTAGGAAGAAAAGTCGTTAATATGTATCTACTGGTTTTTGTTCATCGATCATCGTTAACCATTATCGAAGGTGTCATTCTTCTACGTAAGTTTAGAATCCCCGTGGGATTTCCTTTATACGTACTAAAGTAATTTTCAATATTAAGGTAAGTCAATTTCATTTATAATTTATAAGTTTATAATGCAAACATAATGTATGCGTATATAAATTTATAGTTTACATACATATATATGTTAATTGTGGTTCGTAATAATTTTCTGTTTTCTTTTTTTTTTCTTTTTTTTTTCCCCTCTATATCACGCGCGCGATAAAATAATTCATTCAGAAATTGGTTACATAGGAATAACGGGACTAGATAAATTGAACTAGAATAGATAGAAAAGATAAAATGAAAAAAAATATTAAAAATCTTAATCTCTAAATTTTCTTTACGAGTATTCCTATTTCAAATTTCAAAAGCCTTTTTTTTTTTTTTTTTTTGTGTTTTCAACAGTAATTTGAAGTTATTTTAACTTATTCCTTCTTTTTTCCTTTTCTTTTCTTTTCTTTTCTTTTTTTTTCTTTTTTTTTTGACTTACTAATGAATTTCGATATTATTTATAACGCCCTTATAATCAAGTTCGTTCGCATTTAACATTTAGACTTGCGTTTCTTTTTTTCTTTTTTTTTTTTTTTTTTTTTTGACTATCGTCAAATGCATATCGGATTAGTGATTAATTTGTAATTTAATCACTTTTCGCATTCGATTAAATATCGAGCGTCGTGTTTTTTGACGAACATTATTTCGTCATTTATGCATTTAGCCGTAGGCACATAATGCGCCTAAGTGATAATAATTTCCCCGTGCTGTGAACAAAGATAAATCATACTTATAACAATGTAAACGTTATGAATTTTAATCTATTGCATTTATAAGCAATGAAAAATTATTATAAAAGGGAAGGAAAATGGGAAAAAGAAAGAAAAAGAAAAAGAAAGAGAAAAAAAAATTATAGAGCATTAAAAACATAAGTAAAAGAATAATTACAAGAAAAACTATAGATGATATTATTTGAAACGAATAATTTCCAATATGTTGGAATTAATTTGGACGTATTATCAAACGAAACATATTGATTATTTATTTTTCTTTGTACTATTTTTTTTTCTTTTCTTTCAATTCTTTTTTCTTTTCGTTTCTTTTCTTTTCCTTTCTTTGATGTCACGCGTGTATTATATATCAGCCATAATGAAAAAATGACATTTATCGAGAACGAAAGGGAAGAGAGAGAGAAAGAGAGAGAGAGAGAGAGAGAGAGAGAAAGAGAGAGAGAGAATCGAGTGGTTCTCCAATGTTTTAAAAGTCGATATTAACGAGTTATGCTAGCATACCATATGTTGATTAATTAACCTAATTGCATGTCTTTGTAGTGAGCTGGTTACATATACTTACAACATAGACCAGAATATCGATTTGAATAAATCATTCCGTAATTACTACATGCAGGTTGTCCGGATTGATAGGGTTGGTAACCAATAATATTTCCACTGGAAAATCAAAACCAAAAATAAATTTTACGATTAATATTGATAATGCCAGAACAATTTCAATCATGATACAACTAATTTTATAATCCTCGCTTTATAAACTTATCGATTACGAATACGTTATCAATTGATTTTCTTCTCGATTATTATTAATAAAAAAAAAAAAAAAAAAAAAAAAAAAAAAAAAAAAAAAAAAAAAAAAAAAAAAAAAAAAAACAGAGGAAATAAAAGAACAAAAATATCGAATTTCTCTGAAACATTGTTATACATTTCTTTTTTTCTTTTTTCCACGCGATATATAAAATAATTTATTTTTCAACAGATTTAATGATAACGAAATAAATAAATAAAAAAAAAAAAAAAAATAAATTATATTTAAAAGTAAATTTGTTTTCGAGTTCATTGTTGAATATTTAATCTGTCCTCACCTCGGTCCATAATTGCAAACGTAATTTTTAGTATATCCTTTTGCCGGATCATAATAGAACGAATATCCACAGCCAATGAGAAACGTGTCGCTCCAAACTAACTGTGCGTGTGATGGATAATAAAAAAAAAAAAAAAAGAAAAGAAAAGAAAAAAAAAAGGAAGAAAAAAATATTTAGATACTTTCTTATTTCTCGTAAAAAAAATTAAATATCCTTACAAAATAATCATTGCTCTAATATAATATATTCTTAATTAAGATTCCTTAATGTATCCGATAAAATGTACGAA